GTGAAGTGGCTGGAGCTAAAGATGAATGGGGGTAAGTCTCATAGATTAATATACAACCACTGGTACCTGTTTTCAAACTTGATTGAACAACTAATTATTTGGTCAACATGGTCAATAACTTGGATATTTACTTTGTAGCTTCTGCCTGTACATGTGTGTGGGGGAGCTGTGTACATATTGAAATTCCATTGTATAAATTTGAGTCTTTTAGAATCCTAGACTATCAGGTCTGGTCAGAACCTTTATGGTCATAATCCCATTCTGGAAAACTGAAAGTCAAAAAACAGAAGAGGTACTTCAATTGGTTAGTATGAGAGATGAGACTTGGACAGGTCTTCCTAACCCTACTTGAACTGCACAGCAGCCATTAGTTAACTAATCTTTCATTTCCTCCCACAAGAGGACTCAAAATTGGACTTGGATTAAGGTTAAAAAGACTATATTTCATCTGCTTCCCAGGTTTTACTCTCTTTATTCCTGGTCTTAATTTTCTCCTCACATTAGTCCTCTTCTTCCTTTTATTCCATTTTAAGGAAATGATACTCAAATGCTTCTTTTGTATAGTTTTCATGACGTTTCATCCATGTGGCTAATTCCCTCAACTGGATAACTGCTTGGAAGAGGTTTTTGTATTATTTTTGGCTTGGGCATCCATATCCTGCCAGTGAGTGACAGCAGAGACTGCCTCCTCAAATTTCCACAGTGCTGATAAGAGGAGTTGGCAAAGGGCAAGAAGGAAGCTATACGGAGAGATGGAGGGGGCCAGGTGCCAGGGAATCCAGCTACATACATGGCAGGATTTGCATATATGAGATGTGCACTTAGAATCAGTTCTCAGCATCCACTCATCATGAGGAAAGTACTTTACATTTGGGGACTTGGGATGGCTACCTTCTTAACAATGGCACTAAACTAAGAGGTAACACATGTAGATTCACTCTTCTCATTTTTTTTTTTTTAAGTTATCTGATTGGAGCTTGAACAGCAGTTGTCATGAGGTCTCAGTGTCTGGCGTAAGTTTAGGTCAAAGTACGCAAAGATTGTTTCCAAGTGATCTGAATAGAAAATGTCACTCATCACTCTTCCAACACCTTGTGAAAACTTGGCTTTGAGGGCACATGGCATCATTCTGACTAAGCATTGTTATCCCTGGAGTATGCAATCGCTTTTCTGGCCCTCTGCTGCATGTTAGGGTGCAAGAGATGGCAATGCCTGCCGACAGACAGGCCCAAATAGGAGCTGATAAGGCTTATAACAATTCTGAGATTGCACCTTCTCACTATTTATCCATTTTGTGGTCCCAGGCAAGCATTTTTATAAATGGACATTTAGCAGATGGTATGCATTTAGAAAACAGGCCAAAAGAGCTACTGCATTCTGAAACTGAAAAAGGAAGGCGTAAAATACAGAAAAACGGTCAGGAATCTGTACTGCATCCTAGGCCCAGGTATGTTAGAAGTGGGCTAACAAGACAATGCAACCATCTGCTGGGCCATGGAAACAAAGAATGAAAGATTTCCCAGCAAGAAAAAGGAAATAGAGTGTGCAACTGCTGCTATTGCTAAATAGGGTCTCTAATCCCTCTCTCCATAATGGTAATGACTTACGTTTATATGGTATCTTTCATCAGCTCTGATCTCAGGGAGCACTGAAAGCCTTCTCTTGACTCCGCTCCTAAATCTGGTCCTTAACAGGCTAAAGGATGACATCTATATTTATACTGTATCTATTTTAGAGAAGAATAGCTCATGTGAAATAGGACATTCGGATGCTAAGGAAATGAATCAAGTGTGACGAAGGAAAAGGTGGAGGGAGAGAAGTTGTAGAAAGTGCAGATGCTTATTTCCAATCATGACCCTCAGTATCATCCAGCTGAATAGACACCTCCACTCAGATAAAGTCACTGAAAGCTCTTAATGCATCTAGTAAGCTCAGCTTCATCTCATCTGCCTCCTGTCTTTTCATGGAACTTGGCACTCTTCAGAGTCTATCACATTAAGGTGAATGTTCTTCAGGGAGTCTTGACAAACTCTGACATTGGATTCTATGTGATGCTAAAGATATTTTTCTTTCATGCTTTGGAGGCACAGCAATGCAGGAGACATTTGAGATATAGGCAATGAGAGGCTAAGGCTTGGAAGGGAGGGGAATAAGAGGGAATCTGGCCTGTCTCAGTAAGAAGCTCAATGAGATATGCAGGAACATCAGGCATAGCTCATATCGATGTAGCAGCCACCAACAATTATGATTCATTAAAGTTCTGGGAAAAAATAAGCTCATAGAAGACAGAGATAGACACAAAGCAGTGGCAAAAATAACTCAGAGTGCTGGATTTCAGTAAGGACAGAGGTGGAAGCTCTGTCCATGGTGTCTCCAGGCTGATAATATCAATTCAGGAAAGGTAAGGCCACAAGGATTCCTTCTACACTGGCTGGGAATTGAATAAATGGGTGTCTTCTTCCCTTAACTATTCTTTTCAGCAATGATCACATAATCACTGTGCAGACACCTTAGGGAATGGTATGTGATCTGAGGATGAATGGGATTTTGAAGGCAAGAACAGAGGTGACATAGAGGAACACTGGACTGGGCACCAAGAGCTGTGTTCTAAACACAGCTTTCACCAGCTTCGTGGCAGGTAGTCAAGGTTCAATGCAGCAGGCAAAGTTCTGGGCTTAAAATCAAAACCAAATGCTTTTTGAACCTTGACAGTTCACTTGATCTCTTTGAGCCTCAGTATCCTGATCTGTAATATAGGAATAAAAATACCTGTCTTATAAGATTGCACAAAGGGCATTACACAGAAATTTATGTGAAATGGCTTTAAGAATGGAAGCACACTGTACACAAAAGGTCTGGCCCAACTCCGTGAGTTACAGATGGGAAGACAGTACCCCAAAGAAGTGGAACCCCATGCCTAAGGCCACACGGAGAAGTAGTAACAGAGTTGGGCCTTGTATCCAGTTCTTCAGGTTGAATCTAGCTTTCTTTCGTGACATTGTCATGATACCTATTTCTTCCCATCTCAAGTGGCTGGCTGAAGATCCCATGAGATGGGACAGAGATGGGGAGGAGTTTTAATAAAGTGATGAACACGATATAAATGCAAGCACATGAAAAGCAATATAACTAGAGTGGGGGCACACAGTGACTGGACATGAACCCCAGCTGGGAAACTTGATGAAGTCCACCAGCACTCAGCAATTCAGCCTGGCCACAGACAAATCCTGGTAAAATCACTGAGAAAACCAACACGCAACAACATCCGGCTTTAGCTTCTTGAGATCTTGCTCCTTGGGTCTGTTAAGTTAGGATTTTTGCTTGCAGGTTCTTAACAATTACCCCTCATCATTATTTTCTAGCTAAATAAGGCTTATAAAAGTACAAAAATAGAACATCTTCGGTCCACAGCTAGTGTAGGTCCCATGAATCAGTTTCATCATGCTGAAAGAGATCAGTTTCTCACATGTCATGCAAGGTCAAGGCAGTACCTCCTGCCCAGGTGGGCTTAGCCTGCACTCTGCATAAAACCAAACACCTTCAACAAAGTCTGATGATGAAAAATGATGACGCCCAGATGAGCACATCCACTTTGGGCAGACACAAAGTGTAGGTCATTTATTACCTTTAGCAAATGCAGGAGATGTGACTGCTAATTGGTCTCTTCATTAACCAAGGAGAACATCTACCACTACAACTCACAAGCTAGTGGCAATCTGGGGCGATCTTTAAGTGGTTTCCACCTCATAATCATATTTCTTCCTGAAATCTGCTGGCCTAAAAAATGTCTCTAATTCTTCATGAATAGACTATTCCTGCCTTCAGGAAATATGGGCTTCCTGGGAAGGGAGAGGACAAGTGAGTGGTACACATCATAAACAGAAGTGAAATGCTACACCAAACCTTAAACATGGATGATTTTTTTTTTTTTAAAGCCAGGCTTTGATTAGAGGGTTTTATACTATTTGGCGACAGGGGGAACCCAATAACTTTTTTTCTTTTTCTTTTTTTTAGCTTCTGCAACTCCTAGGTAAGAAGTTTCTACTATTTTCCTAATAACTAATGGCTCTAGTCTTCTATAGGAGTTTTATCATATATGATGTAAGGCCAGGGTCAAAGGGATACTTTTGCAGAAATGTGAGGCCCTAACAGCAGGGAAGGATTTGTGTGGTTGGGGAGGTTAGCATGGGAATTCTGCCAGCAACTGACAAGGAATACGGTCCTTCTAGTAGCAACCGGCATTTCAGTTTCAATTAGTGAACAAAATCCCTTTCTAGTGGGCATGCAAAGAGACACAGTTATAAGGTCTCCTGGAAGCAGGAGGCACACACCACCTTCCAGCCTCCCTCCTTCCACTTAGTGCACAAAAATGACAAGTATCTGAATGTAGTCAAGTTTTCATTTTAGGGACCTGCCCAGGACAACTTATCAAATGCCCATGGAAAAAAAGGGAAACAATATGGCCCAAAGCTGTGGCTACCTGATCAGTTAGACTTCAGGATTCACTGGTCATCAGCTTCTAATGGCTCTGCAGTGGACTTCTCACATTAGATGTGTGACTTCTGGACCTGGCATGCCAGATAAACTAGCTAGTCATTTCCTTCCAGGCTTGGCATTCTTGGATCTTATTGGTATTCCTAATGAGATTTAGAGGCTGTATCCAAACAGCAAACTGTACTGTTAGATCAGATGAGGACTTAAGAATAGCATCTTTAATAAAAAGCATAAACATAGTGGGCATGACTGCAGCGTAGGCAGTTATTAGGGTTATGGTTTCAAAGTTTCTTAAACAATGGCTCCAGGAGAGAAGGAAGATAGTAAATACCAAGTAAACAATGTACAAAATGTGCAGCAAACTCAAATGTGCAAGGAGACCCATTTTAATTTGATTCCCACCTCTTTGCAAACTAATGAACACAATGTGCCACAGATGTGTCTGAGGTGCAAAGTCCAGCAATTAAATAACTAGACAATCCAAGTCTGAAGAAAAACAGCCTTACCTGGAGACATGGAGGAGTCATAAGAACTTCTCTCCTTGCGGTTCATCTTGAAGGCTTGGATGTCCTTTTCCCTGTACGTTCCAAAGCCTTCATAGCTCCTCCTTTTACTCCCACTCACGTCACTGTCCCACTTGTCATTCGAAGGGTTCATTTCACTGAACACGTCCAGGTTCTCCGATCTCGTGCTGCCACCATCCCCGCCACTGCCAGAGTATCTTTTCGTGCATGAGTCCACAGGCTCACTGCTCAAGTCTCCTTTTTCCTTGGCCTGTGTCCAATGCTGGGCGTCGGAAAGTGACAGTGTAGACAAGGTGTCCACCTCGAAGTTGTTCTTAGAAGCTTTGTGGCCGGCTTCGCTGTGCTGGTGCTTCTGTTTCTCCTTATGCTTGTTCTTCTCACTCACCAGCGGGAGCTCTTTGTCTGCGCTACTCAGCCGCTCGCTCAGGATGTGGCTGGAGAAGCCTGTGGCTTTGCCTGCAAAGAGACCACTCAGGTTGTCGTGGGTCCCTAGGATCCGGTCTTCCTTGTGCTTATGCTTGTGTTTGTGTTTCCTCTTATGGAGCCGACCGCTGGACAGACTGGCACTGCCTACCTTGGGAGGATTCAGAGAAGGCTGCATGTCACCAAGGCCCATGCTAACAGGTCCCTGCAAGTGTACTCCATGCTTGGCTTTATGCTTAGCTGCACCGGACATCTTTACGTGGGAGTTTGTGTGGAACTGAGGTGGTGGCACTGTTGGCCTCATGAATGGGGAAGCTGCTCCAAGCGTGTGCGATAGGTACAAAGGAGCTGGGTACTGACCGTAATAACCAAGGTTCATCATAGGCATTGATGTGTAAGGCATTCCATAGGGTGCATAGTAACTTCCACTGGGAATAGGGTAGCTGAACCCTTGTAAAAAAGGCACCTTTGTCATGGTGTCATTGGTTTTTGCAGGCCTACCACGCTTCTTCTTTGACTTCAAGTCTGAAGTCCTACGAAGATAGAGCAACGGGTCATACTGGATATATGGCACCGGGTAATAGTGATCAAAATTAATCCGAAAAATGCTGGGATATGGATTCTCGTGGTAGAAGGTGTAACTCCGGTGGGAGATTCTGAACACTTGGAACTTGGTGATGAGCTCCTCCAGGTCTGCCAGAAACTGGAGGTCATCGCGGTTTTGCAGGCTTTTCCGTTTCCTCTTGTGCTTTGGCTTCTTGAGGCTTTCGTGGGCCAGAAAGTTGTCCACAATGAGATGCTTTTGCCGGTGGCCATGCCGGTTCTTTGTGCTGGTGTCGGACGGAATGGCCTCCGGGTTGTCCAGGGAGCAGAAATCAAAAGAGTACCTCCTTCGGGATTCTGAGCTCTTCTCCGCTTGGTCAGAAGTGCTGTTGTTGTCTGTCCCAATGCCGCTGTCGCTGGGGATCGTCTCCTCACTGTGGGACTCACTCACAGGGGACAGCGTGATTTCCTTTAGGGAGCCAATCTCGCACAGGTGTGAAGGGGAGTTGGCCATCAGTCTGGGTGGAGACAGCTTCCAGGTTCCACTGTGTATTCCCTTTTGGGTTTTGGTTGGAAGAGCACTGATGGGCTGGAGATTTGGCATAGTTTTCAACTCTGAAAAATTGGTTTCAGTGCTGGCAGGGCTCAGGTTGCCATTGGACCCACCTAACTGTGTTGAAAGTGGGTGCATAGCTGCTGGTGAAGACGCCACAAGTGACTGAAAGTTGGAAGGCACGGCTGGAACATCCGGCTGGCTAGAAACAGGCCTGGGGTGCTTGATGGCTGTTTTGGGTTCTTCGGATGGGGGTGGCAGCTCTGCTCTTGGCTTCCTGCCCCGCTTCTTGCCAATGTAGATGGTTCCCCTCTTGCTGACATTAATCTGCTTGCCCAGTTTGCTTTCAATGGCTGCTGCCCCAGGGCTGGTCTCTGGGGGAGCTTTTGCCTTCAGAGCAACGCTGCTGGAACAGGACAAGATCTGGTTCAAGATGTTTTTCCTCTTGAGTGTCTTCATCTTATTGATAGTTTTGATGGTCTTCTTATCCAACACGCCGAGCTTTCCAACTTTCTTGTGAAATTTCATCTCACTCATGGGTTTGTCCTCTCCCGGCACTAGCTGGGCCAACTTCGCTAAATTGCGTCGTCGCTTTCTTTTCTTAGTGCCAGGAAACTCTCGGCTGATGGGACTGACGGGGCTGGTGGAAGTTCCCTCATGAATCGTCTCGACTGTGAGCAAAGGCTGCTTCTTTGGTCGTCCCCGCTTCTTTTTGACTGGAGTGATCACAGTAAGACTGTCTGTGTTGGTGTAGAGAGGGCTGGATGGGGTGATGGGATACGCAGATGGGGGCTCCAGCATCAGTTTATCAGAGGTGGCCATAACTGCCTCTCGAAGCATGGTGCTGGGTTTTGGTTTGCTGCAAGTCCACCTTCGTTTTGCAGCAAATTTTGGATGTTGGATTTCCGGCAGCTTTCTGGATGGAGAGTGATCTGTGCACGTTGGAGGTGTCATGACCATGGGTGGCTTCCGTGGCTTAGACACACCTCCTGGGATAACTTTCTCAGCATTTCCACCAGTTTCAAGGCCAACTGAGGGGGACTCATTCTCTATCATTTTACCCAACTTAGGGACACGGGGATCCTTCTTACTCCCCTCAGAGTTGGAAAGTATCCTGTTAACTACTTCACTGCTCATAGTGATTCCAGAAGCCAGGGCTTTCTCTGGCATGATCTTTTCCACCACCGCTTTAATGGACTGTCTCTTTTTCCTCTTATGGTTGGTTGGATCCAGAGAGGGTGCCTTGATGGGGATAGTAATCCGGACATGACTTGAGTCATTTTCAGGATTACTGGCAGAACTCACGTTCTGCCTGGCTGGTGATGCCTCCTGGACACTATCTGTGGAATAACTTTCCCTTTTCCCTTCTGTATTGTCAAATGCTTTCTGGGCATTCTTGACCCAATCCAGGTCTGGGTTTGGTATGGTCTGACTTATCACATCCTTCTTACTGGACTTTTTCTTGCTGCCCACAGTAGGTGGTTCTGGGGGCTCCTTTGTACCTCCTCCATCTTGATCCACCAAGGGCTGAAGCCCGCTGCACTCAGCAGAGCTGCTGGGTGGGGCTGGTGAGCTGTGGCTGCTTGGGGATGGTGCCACACCTCCCAAAAGCAGATCTTTGTTATTGTTAGACAACTGACTCCACGTGTTCCCTGCACTGCCTTTCTTACCCTGGGCCTTTGCAAAGGAAGCCACGGGCTCAAGAGCTGGGATCTTGCTGGTGCTTGCAGTTTCTCTGCCAGACTCTGGACTGATGAAGCAATTCTGAGTGACAGGTCCGCTGTCAGAGTTGGTGGACCAGTCCATGTGGTTCTGGCTGCTGCTTTTTTGCTGGTGCTTTGGTTTTAAGGTGTCACCGGTGAAGTCCTGTGGGAGGCCTGTGTCATAATGGAGAGTTGAATGTTTCTGGGGCCTCTCGTAAGCCTAAGGGTGGGCGGAGTGGAGAAGGAGAGAGAGAGAGAGAGAAACAAAGATGAGCATGTTGAAGCTACTTAAGATTTGACAGCAAAAGTCTCAATGATCTGAAAGTTGGAAATGAATACCTAAATGAACAGCCACCTTTAATTTTAGAATGTTTTACAGAGGTTTTCTCAATTGCAGCAGTAAAGATGTATTGCACTGGTTTTGAACATCAGTAAGCACGCTTTAATTGCAGTCTTTTCTCCCTAAATAACAGGAATCTTGACCTACCTTGGTTTAATGCAATCTTTAGAGACAGGAGGAAGGGGACATAAAGGTCACTTAGCCCAGTGACTTTTTACATTTTTACATGCTATTTTACAAATGAAGAAGCTGAGACCTGAACAATGGGGAGTCCTGCCAAAGATGGCAAATCCCAGGAGAGAATCTGAAATTCCTGGCTCCCACCTAACTCGAGCAGCCTCTTATTTCTGTCCCTGCTTCTCTTCAAATGAATGTCTTTCCTCACTTCCTCCTGTTCCAGCTCATTTCAGTTTGTACTTTGTCTTAAAGCTCAACATCTCTGTACAAGTAGCTCATAAAGAACCACTGTAACCAGTAAAAACAGCCCAGGTTGAGGAATTAAGGGGGCATGGAGAAGAAATGGAAGAAGAAAAGAAACACACAAGAATTGTCCTAAGTCTTCAAATCCTTGTGGACTCTAGGAGTGTTGCTGTGTTTGGGGCTTAGCATGCAAAGAAATCCTTAAACTTTATATTATGCACTTATTGCTTTCTTGAGGAAACTTTTGGACAGTCTCAAAAGGAACCTTGAGTCTGCTAGACAAATGTGTCAGGAAAAAAAAACAGTTGTCATTCAAGATCACTCCTCTGAACTTTGTCAACTGTGTTTCCCCTACATTGATTCTAAAGGAATGTCTCCAGCATGTTTCTCAGGACTGACTCTCTCCAGCTAAAATAAAAAGCTGAACCTGTTGCTGGAGGCACAACATAATCAGTGTCTACAAAATCATAATGGAATGGACAATGAACACATTGTTTGGAGATATTAAAGCTATTTTTAATAAAAATATGCTTTCACTGTTCCAGATGAATTTTAAGCCATGACACTAGTTCAAAGAAGCATTCCTTAAGGTTTATGATAAGCCCAATTTATACATAGGGTAGTAAACTTACAGGATGCATTAGCCTAAGAACTGTTAAAAAAGAGAAAATATTAGTAAATTGAAGAACCCCTCCAGGAAGTGTATGATGACTGGCTTCATGAATTTAGAAAATTTTAGCTGGTAATTATCTATCTATCTATCTATCTATCTATCTATCTATCTATCCATCCATCCTCTATCTTTTTATATCTCATTTTATCTCTATTTTTCATTGAAGCTATGGAACTTATGCTTTATAGGAAAACATGTCTTACAGCCCCTGTTAAGAGTCAAAACACAGATGGCATAAAGCATTACAGGGACAGTTCAATGTAGTCATGAAACTAGGATTTCCTTCATACTAATTTCTGGAATCCCCAGGGTTATTTCCTGCCTCCCTGATTTTGTGAAATCCTGTTTATACTTACAATATTTTGTAAGCATCATGAGATAGTTTCCTCAAGTGAAGCCTGTAAATACCCAGGAGAAAACAATTTAATTTTTTAATTCATCTTGCAACTTAAACTTCTACTGAAACGCCACCATCATCAACATACAGAGAATTAATCCTACCACTTGAGGGTGTTCACTGGCATTACTGCTATGAACATAGGCTGCTATTCCATTTTCAGCAAAAACATAGAAATCTTATTTGTGGCATAAAATATTAAGTGCTGCTTACTTATCTTTTATGAATCAGGGCATTGCTAGTTTCTACTTCTGCTTTGGAAATTAGCTGGCACTCTGTGTTCATTCACAGGATCACAGGTCTAGAGGAGCTCTTGGAGGTTAAGTTTTCTGCTCCTTAGGTCCTCATACTGGGGCATCTTGAGGGTTAGTGGGGGCGATTATTAAAAATAACAGTGAGATGGCCAGGCGTGGTGGCTCACGCCTGTAGTCCCAGTACTTTGGGAGGCCGAGGCAGGTGGATCACCTGAGGTTGGGAGTTTGAGACCAGCCTGACCAACATGGAGAAACCCCATCCCTACTAAAAATACAAAATTAGCCAGGTGTGGTGGTACATGCATGTAATCCCAGCTACTTGGGAGGCTGAGGCAGGAGAATCACTTGAACCTGGGAAGTAGAAGTTGTGGTGAGCTGAGATTGTGCCACTGCACTCAAGCCTGGGCAACAGGAGTGAAACTCCATTCAAAAAAGAAAAAAAGTGGGACAAACAGTGTGACTGTTTTGGACCTGGGTAAAAGAGGACTTGTAGTGGCCTTCTACCCACCTCTACCCCCATCAGTTTTCTAGTTTTAGGCACCAAAGTCCACAGAGAGGCTCCATGGTGACACTAGGCCAGGATCTTGGGCCCCAACTCGTACCATTTTTTCTCTGTTGTTCCATTATCATATTCTTGGTACCTAGCAGAGTCTCTAATTAATGTTTCTTTCATGTTCTGGCTTCAGCTTAATCCTGGGGAGACACCCCTACCTTATAGATATACCCCTATTGTAAGTTTTCATGAAACCATGTAACTTATCTTTGTTGCACTTACCATAGTTTTAGTTTTACATTTGATTTGTGTGCTAACTGAATTAAATGTCTGTCTCCCCTTCTTGCTTGTACACATCATCACAGAGGTACTACGCAGAGCACCTGGCACACAGTAGGCACTCAATAAACATCTACTGAATGAATAAGCATACATTTTACTACAGGCATTTCATTTTGTCAATAGTGAGATCAATAATCTGTATATTGCAACATGTTGTCTGCAAACACAGTCACTGCCTTCAGCCTAATTTCTTATTCTCTGTATACCTCCTGTATGTGCCACTGCCTCCCATAAAGACATCTATCACAGTCTTTATACTGATAGGTGGCATTTATTTGTGTACTTTTCTGTCTCCTTTTCCTAGACTATAAGTACTTTGAGGTCAGAGACTTATCGTCTTATCCCCAAGGCCTACTACAAAGCCAAGCACCCAGAAAGCTCTTGATAAATGCTAATGGATGAGGTGCCTATTACCATGGCAAAATATACAGCTGCACACAAAAGACAATACACTACTAATCTGTCATTTGATGATGGCTCCTAATGAAACTGGAACACTGAAATGCCTTACGTGCTAAGCAAGAAATCCTTCCCAAATACTTAAAGATGAAAGGAGCTTATAAGGTAACTCCCCTTCAATGTAATTTTTACTGTTAGTTCTCCCCATCTCCTAATTGTTTCACTTTTCAATTAACTCTGCCTTTGGAGAAGGCCATGAGACTGTCAGAAGGGTGGATTTCACCCTGGCAGTTGAAAGGTGGAGCTTGCTCACTTACACCCAGGGCAGACCAGCTGAGAGTAATACAGTTAAGCATGCCTGGTCCCTAGTGCTTCCCTGGACCACTGCCTGATCCCATTGTTCCTACCATTTCAGCTGCAGTCTGCCCTGCTGGGAGTGCTCAGCAATCAAAGTGCAGGGTGCACAAAAGGGAAGCACAACAAAGGATCAGGAGTAATGGAGGGAACGGTGCTTTAAGATCTTCACTCAGCTGGGCTGCAGAGAAGGGGCAGGGAGGACCCAGAAGGAGTGCTTTCTAAGAGGTCCAGAGAACAAGGCCTCCTCCAGCCTTGGCTGATGGCTATATCCCATTGCAATGCGCTTTATCTGTCAGCCATGACATATTATATACACAATAGTGAGGCTGTCAGTTCCAATATGTCCTTTGCTGAGAACTGAGCACTTACTCCATCCAGACAGAGATGGACAAGGCAAGCTGCAAGACGGGGGAAGCACACACCACAGCCTCTGCCTCCCGTCCTAGTGGTCTGGGGAGATGATACCTTATTGGGCTCTTGGACTCAGGTCTTTATTGACCTATGCACCACGTCTCCTTTTTCTCTTTAGATTGAGAGTTTTGGGGTTTGATTTTTTCTTTTTGATGAGGTCTGAGTCTTTTACAGCCTTTATACCATCCTCAGCCCTCAGCAGAACTATTAACAGTTAACATGTGAAGGAACAGTCAATGATATTCCATATTGGGCATACAATTCTGGTGGAAAACTTTCAATACCAAACTAAGCTTAGTACGCTTCATGGCTGCCTGGTTGCCTCCCACCCCTCTCCCCATTCCCAAGAGTTGATTGATTGTGAAATTCATGGCAGTTTTGAAGGTGTGGCTCACTTTTATAAGAAAAATGTTTTCCATGCACATTGAGCCTAGGTCGAATGCTTCAGTGAAACTCTGAAAACACTAGGCAGATTTATGCTTTCAGTATTTCTTCATGGAAGCAAGTTCTTCTGTAATGTAAAGAATTGTTTTGTAAAGTAGATTGTTATTCTCTCCCCTATAAGTTGACTAAATAATATACATTTAAAGTGTGTGCAAGTTAGGTTTCTTTTTAAAAAGTATTTTTTAGTTTATTTTTCAAAACAAAATTAGACCATTGAGTAAAATCTTAAAAATCCAAAAAATGGGAAGCAAATGAGTGACCTAGCCTTATCTCAGGCTTACCTAATGCAAAATTTATTGCAAAGAGATGAGAAGATGATGATTTGAATCTAATAAAAATCACATAACTCATTTAAAAAAGAAAAAAAGAATCAAGCTTGACTTTGTGAGAGATAAACTACTCTTTTGGGTTAGCTATGTCTGTGCTACTTTCTGCTGACACCAATAATTTAAATTTACTGTTTGTAAGATATTTTGGGTTACATGAGCAGGAAAATATGCCTGGGTATGAAGCAATGAGGGAGGCCTCATCTCTTAATTTGGAACTTGGCACTTCTCAAGATGTGGTCCTAGATTACTGTATCGGAATCGCTTAAGGTGCTGGTTATAAATACAGATACCGGGGCCCACTGTAGACCTACAAACTCACAGTCTCTCAGGGAGAGAAGGAGGTATATGCATTTTCACATGC